AAAAAAAATACAGTTCTGTTTTTGGGCGAAAAAAATACAACATACTTCTGTTGTTATAATTTTGTGATTTTAGTATTTGGAAAACCACCCCTATTAAAAAAGTGAAGAATTCGAAAAAATGTATTTAAATACAGTTTGGGGAATTCTACTTAATAGTGAAAATTGTACATTTGGGATAGTATCTTCAATGTATAGTTGTAGTACATACTTTAAAGCAAATTTTTAAAAATAAATCAGTGTTGGAAGAAGTAAAACTAGAATGTTCCTTAGAAGCCAAGATGGTCAGACTTCATCTCTCATACTTTGGGCATATTATAAGGAGGGACCAGTGCCTAGAGAAGGACAGAAGTACATTGCTTGGTAAAGTGGAGGGTCAGTGAAAAAGAAAGAGACCCCCAATGAGATGGCTTGGCACAGTGGCAGCACCAATGAGCTTAATCATGGTAGTAATTGTGAGGATGGCACAGGACCAGGTTGTGCTGTGGTCTACTGTATATAGGGTTGATATGGGTCGGAACTGATTTGACGGCTCCTAACAACAACATATTTACAAGCATTAGACTGAAGACTCGTTTTTCCTATAGAATGCTTATTTATAAACATGAAGCTAGAGTTTCAATTGTTATTTTTAATTAAATAGAATTTGTTCTCCTCTTATGTGGCCAATTGATTAACATGATCGAGACTTAAGAAATTTGTGGGGAAATTCAATTATCTTTCAGTTTCACTTTTCCATCAACTTTTTGAAGCCCCCTTGTAATTTTTACTAATGTTAAAAGCTGGTACTCAAATATAATGTTGCTTATGTAGTGTGGCACATTTATGACTAAATATTTTTTTCTTCAGTTAATTAGTTGTAATACCTATGAAGGAGTCCTGGTGTGGTGATGCGGAATAATGCACTGGACTGCAAAGGTTGACAGTTGAAACTCACCATCTGCTCCTTGAAAACCCTATACAGGATCTCTGTGGGTGGGAACCAACTCGACAACACTTTATAACAACAAGAATGTCTGACAGCTGCTTAATTTTTGACTGATATTAACCTGTCTTCAGGAACTGAAGATTCTTCTAGGTTTATAGAAACAGGATGTGAAATGGTATTGAACAGTATTAAGAGTCTGTAATTGTAAAAGATTGATGGTTCTGTAAGAAATGGCTACGTCTCAGAACTAATGTTATTAGGTGCCATAGAATAGGTTCTGACTCAGCAAGCTCCTGCACAGCATAAGGAAACACTGCCTGCTCTGGTACCGTCCTCACAGTTAATATGTTTGAGTCCATTTTTGCTGCTACCATATCAATGAATCTCTTCTTTTTGCCACTTTTTCTGTTGACACTCCACTTTACCAAGTATGATGTCCTTCTCCATGGATTCAGGGTTTTGGAGAGTTTTTTTTTTGGCAGTGTGAGGTGAGGGGAGGGAGCAAATAAAAAATGACCATGGTAAGATTGGATGCCAGGAGGTTTTAAAAATAGAAGTGCAGTTATTTGACTGCTAAAGTTTATTGTAAGTTTGTTATTTTTGATCAAAACACACTCTGTTACTGGAATGTTGAGAATTATCACATGATGTTTTGGTATTGCAAAGGCAGGAGATATTTTTCTTTTTCTGCTGGAGCATTGTGATTTTCTAGCCCTCGATCCTAATCAGAAAGCTGAGAAGTGATGTGTCACAGCTGTATTGAAAGCAGTTTGAATTTAATGGATATTTGTTGCATGGTGAAGTAGTATTTATTGTTTTCATAGGAAGAAATCTGTCTTACTTCATGTTTTCAGTAATAAGTTTGTTTTGAGTCAGGATAGACCCAACTTTTGAATGGAATGCCATTGAAATCTTTAGAGAATAAATTTATAAGTCTGATCTTTTAAGGGAGTTGCTATCCTTCAAAAAAATATGATCACAGAGTTGTT